TAGCACAGTTTTGGTGGTTTTTCCGCCTGGCGGCCCCCGAGAGTTTTTTACCACCCTTCGGTACTTTGCCAGCTGCGCAGCACGACGGTTCTTCTGAGGAGGTCCCGCCGGTATTTTGTGGTGGTATGATGGTGGTGTTTTCCTCCCCATCATTCCCACGAGTAGCTAGGGAAGGGTTAGGTCCATCCACATGAGCGCCGCATGTATCGGTAAGGTAAAAACTATTGAAATTCAATAGTTCTCATGTGCGATTATTTCTTGCTGAAAAAAAGCAATAATTTTGACTCATCGTGTTGGTGACAATGACAGTGGTTGGTTACAATGACCGCGATTTTAACATAAAAAGCCACTTTTTCGTTCCCTCGCTCGACGTTCGCCAAACTCGTCTTTATCTATGGCCATACGAAATGCATGGACACGAGAACCATACTATCCCCCGAAGCTAAAAACATAAATTTACGCAATTATATACAAATATTGAGCACATTTAATTTTAAAGAAACRAAGAAAAAGTATTTTCAAGTGTGTAGATTATATTCAATTTTTGAAATTCGACCAMGGGCTTTCGGTAATTTACATTAGAATTGGTTGAAATTGACACCAACTAGTAKTGAAACAAATACGAATCAGCTACATGTCAAATCAATTYGGTGAAGTGGAAGGAAAAAAATCMATTTAACTCGTTTGTTCGAAAAAAAATTCRAAATAATGTTCGAGAATTTTGAACTTGTTTATGTTTTAATGTAAACAAAAATTTCGAAAAATTCAACGAATAATTCGATTGAGCTGGTGATCACATAAGTCGATAAAGGGATAACGAGGCTTTAAAATTCAATAAAATCGATTGCAAGAGGATAAAAGGTTGACCTTGAAAATTCGAGTTAGTTGGAAACCGATTTTGAGTATAAAAATTATAGATAAGTTCTATATTGTTGGGGCGGATTCATTTTTTTACAATCTTCTTGTTCGGTATTTCGCCTCAAAAATGTTTGTCTTTAAAAAAGACAGAATTTCCTCACGTCTTCTATTACAATAAGAATAGAAGTTAATATAAGTAATAGAAGACGTGAGGAAATTCTGTCTTTTTTAACGACAAAAATTTTTGAGGCGAAATACCCAACAAGAAGTTTTTTACAAACTTGTATTATTTATTATTATTGTTACACAATTTATTAACATACTCTTTTTTAGGTTCATTTAGGTTCTTTTGATAACGATTGCAGAAAATAGCTATCGAAACGTCAAGGTAATTTTT